TGTTCGAATAACAGAAACATGAAAAAAAAAAAAATTGAAAAAAAAAAAAAAAATCCAAAAAGATTTTCCTTTTAGTTTTTATTAGGAATTTTTGTTTTTGATTGGATGGAGATATTATATATGTGATTTTGAACTTGATTGGTTCTATTTATCTAGTGGATGGAACATGTGTTATTTTGAATAGTTGTCTTTGGTTCCATTACTACTATATATCATCATGTTTTTGTGCTTATAGCAATATCTTATGCATGGATGATAATTTTGATCTTTCTTCTTGTTAATTCTCTCACATTTTTTTTCTTTTCCTTCTTTGGTGCGATAAATGCGGTGAAGTGTGCATATTTGTCAATTTGTAACAAAAAAGAGGAGAAGTGTGCGTATTTGAGGGGGAGAGTTTCTAGAATTGAGGGGGAGATATATATATATATATATATATATATATATATATATATATATTGATTTTCACACATATTGATATACGTTGATTGTTTATCTTTCTTGATTAAATTTCACGGGTAGTTTTGTTGAGTAAATGGCAGATTATAGGTTGCTACATACGTTGAAGCTTCATGATGTTCAAGAATAGTTCCGTTGTATTTCTTTGACAATTCATTGTAATTTGTTATTTTTGCTTGGGTAGATTACATGTTGCTTTTAGGGTTTTGTCACGAAATTGCCAAAGGGGGAGATTATGAGATATATATATTTTGGGAAGATTGTGAAAAATATATATTCTGTAATTGGCAACTTTCAGTGTCAAAATAAGTCCTAGTCGAGTTGTAATTCAAGTCACTATATCGGGATCGACAGCAACTGCGAAATTGGAAAGTTGTTCAAAGTTACCATGTGTAATACCCCTAGTTTTCAAAAGGATAAGATGGGAATTTAATTTTGATTTTTATTGCTTTTTTTTTTTTTAATTTTGTGACTTATGTGTTTTGGTTTCTTAATTGATTAAGTGTGTATTTGTTTTAACTTAATTGTTTAATTGAAACTGTTTTAATTTAATTGTTGGTTTATTTAAATATTTGATTATTGATGATTTAATTGATGTGTAATTTAGGGTTTTATATTTGGCAGCTTATATAATTTGTATGTGCCGTAGGGTTTTATTGTTTTAGGTAATTGTGGTCGCTGACTTGTATTTTATTTGGGGTTTAGAATTAGGGTTTAGTGGAAGCTTATATATATACTGTATAATCCAACTAAGGGTTTAGCCACATATATATATATGCTTGGTTATGTCTGCTAGGGTGGAGAACCCTAGTCATGTACTGTGAGGCAAAGAGATATAGAGAATGGTTTGGGAGGTTAAAAGAGAGGAATTTGAGAGGAAGTAGAGAGGTTCAAGGTATAAGGAAAAGGAGTTGCTTGTAGGTGAAACCAAGAGGCAACAGAAGAGGAGAACAGTGAGTAGAAGAGGAGAACAGTCTTGGGATTCGCCGGAATTTAGAGACGATGTTGAAAGTTTTCAAACCGAAACCTAAAGGCAAGTTTCATTCTATCTCCTTCCAGTAAACTTGTGTTCTGTGCATTCTATATAGTCTTCAGGGATTAATTCAACTTTTAAAATAGATGGTTGATGCATGTTATATCGGACTGTAACTTGTTTACGTTTAAATAACTGAAATCGGTTTCTTGCATAAACTGTGTTGTTTTTTATTTAAACTTCTATCAATAAATTCACAATAGAATTTGAGGAGTTTCTAGGACTGTTGGGACTTATATTGAACCTTAAGAACTTTAAGAAAATTTGGAACAGAGGATCGAACTTCGCCGGAAGCGAAGAAGACAAACAGAGGAAGCATAAACTGTTTCGATCATGGTTTAAGCTTTTGTCAAGTAATTCATACTGGAATTAGAGAAGTTTCTAGGATTGTTAGGACTTAATTTGAACCTTAAAAATCTTTAACAAAAGTGGGACAGATGACTGAAACTTCGCCGGAAGCGAAGAAAGCAAACAGAGGAAGCGGAGAAGGAAAAATGGAGGCTAGGTGAGTGGAGGGGGACTCCACCCTTCAATGGAGGCTGCTCCATTGAAGTGGAGCCAGCTCCACAAGGTTTAGAGGTGGCTCTACCTTTTGAAATTGCCAAGTAAGTGTTTTTTTTATGTTTTCGGATATTTTTCTGATTGTATGGGCATAAAGGTAATTACTGGAAAGTAAAGGGGATTTTAAATGTTTAAAAATTAACCTGTTAAAATCTTTAAACAGTTGGTTTATGCTAGGGTGCTAATCCTAAGGGGCAACATGAAACTTAAACATGTAATAGGTATACTGTCAAGGAAGGAAGAAGGTTTAAATTGCTAGTTTGTTTTAGCAACTTAAACGGACTGGTGTTAAATTATTTATTTTTTGTATTTTATATAAATGATATATACAATCTAATGAAGGCCAGAGAAGGTTGGTTTAAGGTATGGTTATAGATATCATGAGCTTTAGTTACTAAGTTACATGCTGTCAATAGTTGAGGAAGTTTCCCTCGCTGGTTGTGTTTTAATCAATTTAAATGGATTAGTATAAAACACTAATGTGGTTTTATATAATGTCTAGTTTAGGCTTCTGAGTGTCATTATATCAGGCACAAGATTTATAATTGGGCATTAAAGGGACGTCATAAGATTTAAAGATTAATTTACATGCCGTCAGGGATTGAGAAGGTTTAAAATGCTAGTCTTCGTTTTAGAAATGTAAATGAACTAGTATGGAAGAATTGATTCGGAATTCTAGTATAATGTTGTTCTGTTTATAATTCTGATAATCATTATATCATGCTATGGATGTTAATTGCTGAACTGTTAAAATTTCTGTTCTGTCAATTATATACAAATGGATGGTTTAAATTGTTTCTTATTATTTTAACAATTTAAAAGGAGGATCTATGATTATAATTATATACTGGATGCATGATAGGATCTTATTAATATCTGATTTCTATTATGTTGGTTTCTGGATTTACTTGATGTTCACATAAGTGTGCATCATTATTGGATCATATGCATTATATGCATCGGTATGGGACAGTGGCATGTCAGAGATGGATTAGATCAAAAAGCTAACTCCTACCTCTTCATACATACGGAACGGATTAACTAAAATAGTTAAATCCTACATGGATGCATGTCCTGTCAATTAAAACAGTTGAACGACATAACGGATGGTTGTTTTATTTATTTATTTTTTGTATTAGGAAGGATATTATATATATATATATATATATATATATATATATATGGTACCGTGATACGAGCTTAAGTCTCCTGATTACGATTAGGGTGCGTATATCGCCTGGATGGATAACTGAACCTAATGACGTTCCTTGGTAGGTCTAGGTGTGCATGATTGCGCTACGTGCGTTTTACGTGTTACCTTCTACTCAGGTGTGATGACAATAGGTTACTGAGTATCCTATAGTGTGTATCTATATCTATATGGACCATTTAAGATATTGTCGAGCTATCTAGGATATATCTGCATATCGGGTTTATGTATGGATTGTAGTAGGATGGAGTTTGCATGTGGGCCTAACCCACTCTTATTTTTCAGGTATTCGTCAGTACCAGGCTTAGAGTTTGATCGTGTTGATGCAGATACAGACACTCACTCTTCCGTGTACCTAGGATTTCCTTTCTTATTTTAGTTTTGAATTTTAGTTTTGTATTTATTGTTCATTTGGAATTATTAGGGGTCCACTAGATGGATTCCTGAGTTATACGGATTTGAAGGATTTAAATGATATTAATTTATTATTTAAAGTTTGAGGATTTTTATTTTAGAATTCAGTTCAGCATATTATTTCATTTTAAATTCTTTTGTATTCCTGCTTGTTTACATATTAATTGTCTACTATCCCTCGAATCTGTGCTCAGACTTGATCACCCGTGGCTCTAGAATCGAGGGGTATCACAGTTGGTATCAGAGCACTCCAGGTTCTAGTGTCCTTAGGAGTGTCTTTCGTTCTATGACTTCCACGTTGCGTCTCTTAAAACTTAGAGCTATGTTAGGATTCGTTGTACTTTATTTACGGTTCGTTAGGAGGAGCAGCAGATGTCAATTATATTTCATAATTATGTAATGGTTGACTCTATGAGGAGGATGGGGTCCAAGGCGACAATAATATATCCTCTATGTTCTAACTATTGAATAATATAAGTGTCTGGACATTTAATTTTTACTCTGTCTAAGTTGTCCTAGTCCTTAGGAATTTGTTAATAGTGGAGTTGTGTTCAGCAAGTTGGTTTATATGTACCAAGTTTATAGGAGTTTCTTTTTACACGTTGTGTAGTGGTGTGTAGTGCCTATTTTCACGCTTTTATCAGTTGATGTACTTGCCTATATAAAGGTCACTTATTTAATGAATTTTATGTAGACCACAATTGTTCTCTGCGTTATCTTCTTTTATTGTTGAGTGTTTATCCTCTTTTACTTGTAACAGTGGTATCAGAGCCATAAAAGTGAGACAGTGAGTTTTGTGAGTTCCAAAATTTGTCAGTCCCACAATCGGTGAGGTAGAGTCCAAAAAAAAAAAAAATAGCAGCTTTCTTTCTTTCTATTTCACTTGTTTTTTCTATTTCACCACTTGTTTGAGGTGTACGATGGCTTCTGAAAATTTTGTTCAACCACCCACTCTTCGCTTTGATGGTCACTATGATCATTGGAGCATACTAATGTAGAACTTCTTACGGTCCAAAGAGTATTGGTAGGTGGTTGATTCTGGAGTAGCAGGAATAGCAGAAGGTGTTGTGTTGACGGAGACGCGGCGGACAGAGTTAGAAGGATTGAAGCTAAAGGATATGCAGGCAACTAACTACCTTTTCTAAGCAATTAATCGCTCTATCTTGGAAACAATTCTTAGCAAAGAAACTTCCAAGCAGATTTGGGATTCAATAAAGAAGAAATTTCATGGATCAGCGAGAGCAAAGAGGCAGTAGCTTCAAGCATTTCGTACGGAGTTGAAACGCTTCAGATGAAATTGGACGAGTAGACTATTTTTCTAAGATGATGGCAATCGTCAACAAGATACGGATCCATGGCGACAAGATGGAGGACGTTACCATCATTGAGAAGATTCTTCGTTCAATGACAGCAAAATACAACTATGTTGTTTGTTCAATTGAGGAATCTAAAGATACTTATGAATTATCCATTGATGAATTGCAGAGTTCCTTGTTAGTTCATGGGTAGAAAATTAATCGGCAAGATAAGGTGGAGCAAGCTTTACAAGCCTCATCTAATAATTCTTTCTTGACAGCAAAATGAGGTGTTTGAGGAAAAGGAAGGGGCAGAAACAACAATGATGGTAGATCTCACATTAGAGATCTGAAGATAATTAGTTTTCTAACTCTCAAGGAAGAGGAAGAGGTCATGACAACAATCATTCAACTTCTTTCAAGCCAAAATCGTTAGACAAATCAAAAGTTGAATGCTTCAGGTGTCATAGGTATGGCTATTACAAGTCTGAATGTCGAACTAATTTAAATAGAAATGGTGGTAGAAAATCTAATTTTGCAGAAAAGGAAATGTCATTATTGATATCTTGTCATGAGAAGGAGGAAACCCACAAGAATTGGTGGTACTTAGACACAGGTTGCAGCAACCATATGTGTGGAGATAAGTCTGCCTTCTCCAATTTGGATGAATCTTTCTATAATTCTGTGAAGTTTGGTGATGATTCTAAAGTATCTGTCATGGGCAAAGGAAATGTAAAAATTCACATCAAAGAAAAGTCCAATCAAATTATTTCCAACATTTTCTTTGTTCCAAATCTGAAAACCAACTTGCTAAGTGTTGGTCAGCTCCAAGAGAAGGGATATGAGATTTCTATCAAAGATGGAGTCTATCGCATTCAAGACAAAGAATTAGGTTTAATTGCTCAAGTTAATATGGCGACAAACCGGATGTTTCCATTGTATCTCGATAACACCACTCAGTCATGTTTTTCTGTGAGATAGAAGAATGAGGCATGGTTATGGCATTTTCGCTATGGACATCTCAATTTTGGTGGTTTAAAGACGCTAAATCAGAAGAACATGGTGACGGGTCTTTCGTAACTTTAGCAACCTTCTCAAATTTGTGAAGAATGTGTTGTTGGTAAACAACATCGTGATCATTTTCTAAAAGGAAAATCATGGAGAGCGAAGAAGATGTTGGAGCTGGTATATTCTGATATATGCGGACCCACTAATCCGATATCGAATGGTGGTAAACGTTATTTTATAACGTTCATTGATGATTATAGTTGAAAAACATGGGCTTATTTTTTACAGGAGAAGTCTGAAACATTTTCAACTTTCAAAAATTTTAAGGCGCTGGTCGAAAAAGAAGCGGGCTTGCCCATAAAGATTCTTCGTAGCAATCGTGGTGGAGAATACAACTCATAAGAATTTGTAAATTTTTGTGAGGCTCATGGAATTCAAAAGCAACTGATAGCAGCTTATACACCGCAACAAAATGGCGTTTCAGAGAGGAAGAATCGTACAATTTTGAACATGGTGCAGACTATTTTGGTAAGAAGTAAGATCCTAAGACGTTTTTGGCCCGAAGCTATAAATTGGAGCATTCATGTACTGAATAAGAGCCCCACACTTGCTGTTCAAAACATAAGTCCTAAAGAAGCTTGGAGTGGACAAAACCAAGTGTTGAACGCTTCAGAATTTTTGGGTGTATATCATATGCTCATGTTCCAGATGAAAAGAGAAGAAAGTTAGATGACGAAGGTGAAAAATGCATTTTTCTTGGTATTAGCGATCATTCAAAAGCTTACAAATTCTATAATCCTACCACTAAGAAAATTATCATTAGTTGTGATGTCATTTTTGATGAAGAAAAGACATGGTCATGGAGCAGTAACACAAGTGGACAGCAAATTCCAGCAAATTTTGATGATGGAAATGAAGACGACACGTAGCAGCAGCAGCAACAAAATGTTCCAGCAAATTCAGCTCCTTAGAATATTCAAAATGACGTCCCTACAGCCTCTAAAACTTCACCACCAGTAGCAGAATCTGTTGAACAGTTTGATACTATAATAGGATCACGCCCTCAGGATGTTAGAAAAGACCAGCGTGGATGTCAGACTATGAGGTATCCAGGATGATTGATATCGATGATTTACTTACACATTTTTCCCTATTTTCAGACTGTGATCCTGTAATTTTTAAAGAAGCTATCAAAGACACATAGTGGCAAAAGGCAGTGGATGATGAAATTGCCTCCATAAAAAAAAAATAACACTTGGGAGTTAACAGATCTTCCAAAGGGGCAGAAAACAATTGGTGTCAAGTGGGTTTATAAGACAAAGTTGAAGGAGAATGGTGAAGTTAACAAGTACAAGGCACGCTTAGTGGCTAAGGGTTACAAACAAGAGTTTGGTGTGGATTACAAAGAGGTTTTTGCTTCTGTTGTAAGGTATGACACAATCAGATTGGTGATCGCGTTGGCAGCATAAAATTCATGGCCTATCTTCCAATTGGATGTCAAATCGGCATTCTTGCATGGAAACTTGGAGAAACAGGTATTTGTTGATCAACCTCCTGGTTATATTGGAAATGAGCATAAAGTGTATAGATTAAAAAAGGCTCTTTATGGATTAAAACAAGCCCCACGGGCTTGGTATAGTCACATTGAGGCTTATTTTTTGAAAGAAGGTTTTCAAAAATGTCCATATGAGCATACACTTTTTGTTAAAATTGGCGATGGAGGGAAAATGCTCATTGTTTGCTTATATGTAGATGATCTTTTATTTACTGTAATGATAGTGTCATGTTTGAAAAGTTTAAGAAGCATATGATTGTTGAATTTGAAATGTCTGATCTTGGTATGATGAATTATTTTCTTAGCATCGAAGTGGTTCAGTCTGCTACAGGAATCTTTATTTCTCAAAAGAAGTATTTGAGAGAGATTTTGGATAGGTTTCATGTGAAGGATTGTAATCCTGTAAGTACTCCAACTGAGTTTGGATTGAAACTAACCAAAGATCACTGAGGAAAGAAAGTGGATAGCACACTCTATAAACAAATGGTGGGAAGTTTGATGTATTTAACTATAACAAGACCTGACATAATGTACTCTATGAGTCTAATTAGCAGATATATGGAAAATCCAACATAGCTGCATTTTTAGCTGCCAAGAAAATCTTTCGTTACTTGCAAGGAACTAAAGATTTTGGGTTGCTTTACAAGAAGGGTAAAAGGTTAGATTTGATTGGGTTTACTGATAGCGATTATGCAGGAGACCAAGATGATAGGAGGAGCACTTCAGGTTATGTTTTTATCTTAGGCACAGGGGCTATTTTGTGGTCATCTAAGAAGTAACCAATTATCACTTTGTTAACCACTGAAGCTGAATTTGTTGCTGCAACAACTTGTGCTTGTCAAGCTATCTGGCTGAGGAAAATTCTTGAAGAGCTGCATTTCAAGCAAGTGGGAGCCACTACAACTTTTTGTGACGAGCTCAGCTATCAAACTCTCCAAAAATCCTGTGCTACATGGAAAAAGCAAGCATATTGATATGAAATATTATTTTTTAAGAGATCTTAGCAATGATGAAGTGATTGGTCTAAAGTATTGCAAAAGTGAAGATCAATTGGCTGATATATTTAAACTGAAGTCCAAAAGCTTTCAGTTTAAGGGAGGGTTTGTTGAATAATTTAAGTGTTTGCATGTTTAATTTTTACTCTGTCTAAGTTGTCCTAGTCCTTAGGAATTTGTTAATAGTGGAGTTGTGTTCAGCAAGTTGGTTTATATGTACCAAACTCTCCAAAAATCCTGTGCTACATGGAAGAAGCAAGCATATTGATATGAAATATTATTTTTTAAGAGATCTCAGCAATGATGAAGTGATTGGTCTAAAGTATTGCAAAAGTGAAGATCAATTGGCTGATATATTTAAACTGAAGTCCAAAAGCTTTCAGTTTAAGGGAGGGTTTGTTGAATAATTTAAGTGTTTGCATGTTTAATTTTTACTCTGTCTAAGTTGTCCTAGTCCTTAGGAATTTGTTAATAGTGGAGTTGTGTTCAGCAAGTTGGTTTATATGCACCAAACTCTCCAAAAATCCTGTGCTACATGGAAGAAGCAAGCATATTGATATGAAATATTATTTTTTAAGAGATCTCAGCAATGATGAAGTGATTGGTCTAAAGTATTGCAAAAGTGAAGATCAATTGGCTGATATATTTAAACTGAAGTCCAAAAGCTTTAAGTTTAAGGGAGGGTTTGTTGAATAATTTAAGTGTTTGCATGTTTAATTTTTACTCTGTCTAAGTTGTCCTAGTCCTTAGGGATTTGTTAATAGTGGAGTTGTGTTCAGCAAGTTGGTTTATATGTACCAAGTTTATAGGAGTTTGTTTTTGCACGTTGTGTAGTGGTGTGTAGTGCCTATTTTCATGCTTTTATTAGTTGATGTACTTGCCTATATGAAGGTCACTTGTTTAATGAATTTTATGTAGACCAGAATTGTTCTCTGCTTTATCTTCTTTTATTGTTGAATGCTTATCCTCTTTTATTTGTAACACTAACCGGTTTGGTTGTACCAAAGGATGTCCTTGTTTGTTCTTTCCTGCATAGGGGATCATTTGCTTTTTCGTTCTTGAGGGTCTACCTTCTGATCACGCAGAGTTTTTCTTGGACAGGTCTTGAAGCACATCCAAACAAGCACATTTAGTGTTCAAAAAGGAAAATGTAACAAATTTAGCCCCCACTAAACTTCTCGTTAATTAGCCCTAATATGGGAAAATTTTACTTATAGCAAGATTTTATTAACAGTAAAATGCCATTTCAACAAAAAACCAGAGCAATTTAGTACAAAAGTTTGACAGTGACGAATAAATTGAGAGAGAAATTAAATCATCATCCCATAGACAGAAAATTTGTGTGCTTTTTATCAACATAATTGAAAATCCAGTAACTGTGACGGGTTTTTACCTGTCTATTTTCTGGCATAATTGAATAATACAATTTGCACTGGAAGCACATCAAATTACTCTGTAATTCTTTTTCTGGGGGTCTAGACACTGTTTTGGACCAAGAAGAGGGGATGAAAACATTGCTCTCATTTGACCCCATCAAATCTAATTGGCCCTATAAAGAACTTCTAGAGCAGTATCACAAATTTCAATCTGGTGGTGTTAGTGTAATTTCTGGTTCATTACTTCGCCAATTATTTTTCTGGAAATAGGAAGAATTCTCTAACATTATCTCAATGGCAACATTAAGCCCAACCAAATTAGGTAATATATATATATATACACACGCGCACAAATAGTTTGGGAAACCAAATTGAAATTGAATTTAAATCAATAATTGTTGGATTTGCTGAGAATGGCGTTGAATAATAACTTCAAAATATGACGATGGATCCTGCAATCTTAATTAGCAAGTGTTCTTGGCATCAATTCACTGAAAAGCAAAAAGTTAAACATAATAGTATTAAAGTTCTACAAGCACTAAGATTGCATATTACAAGGAAAGATTAGGCGAATTGACTAGCTATATATAAGTAAATACAAGAAATAATAGCCATAAAGATCTTCACTAGTTCTTGAACTTACGCAGACATTACTCCACAAAGAAAGATGATGAGGCTTCAAAGTCCAATAAAGAGGAAAATAAGAGATTCTTTCTTCTTCTTTTTTCCTGTGAATAAATTCTTCTTCTCCATCCTCATCATCATCCAGTGATTCTTTGTTGCTCCTCAGATACCCACCCGGAAACTGGTGAAGACATGGCACATAACAGTAACAGGACCGCGCTTACCATCGAAACCATGGAGAAACAGAGGAAAAACCTTGCAATCTTTGGCTTGTGATGGATAAGCACTGAACTAATTGAACACGAAAAAGCGAACATAATGAAAATAACGAAGCACTGGAAGATTGATGAAAGGCCATTAAAGATGATCGGAACTCGAGTTTTATCTATGTACTTGTAGGGAAGTAAGGGTAGCAAGGAAGCT